CCCCCATTTCGAGGCTGGGAAGGAAAAGACGCCTCTGAAAGAGAACAGCGCGCTTTGGGAAACGGTGGGCGTTCAGCGTGTGTGGGCAGCGCCCCAGGGAAGCGGGAGGGCTCCTCCGACACTTCAGTAGCGGGGTTTTAACTGTACTTGAAGTTATTTTGGCGCCATTGTATTTCCTGATTATTTGGTAGGCGTGTCTTTTTCCGCACGGAGACGTCAGTCTCCGCAAATGTGGTGTAAGACTAAGGGCAAGATCCTTTCCCAGGTTTACGTGGGGAAAGTTTTGAGAGAGTGCGATCACAAATGTAATTCTGCATTGGTACTTAAATGCTTAATTGCAAACACTTTTGGTAGTATTGCTTTTTTGTGTGTGACTTTGAAACTGTATGAAGGTTTGAAATATTTTAAGCAACAAATTGCTTGGAAAACTGATGAAACTTTTGGTAATTGAAACTGCCCCGGTTTTATTTAATTGTACATGATTAACAGAGAAAGGTGGATATAGTTTAAATTTTTTCTTTTTGATTACTATTTGGAATATTCGTAGGTTCTTGTTGAGATTAACTTTTCTACCATACCTGACAGTAATAAAGGGTGCTAATACTTTGGTTCATAAGGTCTTTAGTTGGTCAACTGAAGCAGACAGGCATTTGGGGTAGGTGATTATTGATACAATATTAAACACTGAAGAAGTACCCTCCTAGGCCAGAGCAGCTAACCATCCATCCATCTAGCTCACTACTTGATTTGTTGTGGCACCTTAAGGGTTGTGGGATGAGGAAGGCACAGGAGTGTGGCTGTGCCCCTTTATGCTCCCTCAGCATCCCTCAGTTCTTGTATTAGAGTCACTACAGGACAGAGCTTTGCCTGTTCCTTTTAGAGTCTGCTTGTGGACTTGTCTGTGACATACCCCATCAGCATTACATATTTAAAAGATACTTGCATGTATCCTCAGATAGAATGGAGGTCTTCAGTGGTTTCTTCAGGCTAAAAGTGACATGCCTTGCACAACTTCCTAAATATGAACTTACCTGTGATATGGCAGCATTTGGGGAACCTTTGGGAAAAACATTTAAAAAAAAAAAAAATTTGCAATGATGCCTGTGCCTTGAATTCAAGCCAACAAGGCTGAAATCATTCTTAATTCCAATATAAGCTTATTTGAGTTACGTTTTTCCCATTTCTATATAAAATGTTTGAAAAATTTAATATTTGCTTCCCAGTGTTATCAGAGAGTTACCTAGCAACTTTATTTCAATTTGTTAACATTAGTGAGATGATGCTTAATAAGTACATCTGTATACACTCTTGTGATGCTGAATCTAATACAGGCTGAATGTAGCTAGTGAAACAGCATGAACCAAATGACAGCAGAGTACAAGTTCCAAGTCACAATGGCATTAAGCATCGTGGTGTTTTTTCATAAAGCAGAGTAGGAATTTAGCAAAGTAGTTGGGGTTTCTCATGTTGATGTTTCTAATTTTCTGGTGATGTGTGCATTTTGTGTTAGTTTTTGTCTTCTGTTCCATATGTAGTTCTAGAGTTACAGACTTCTAAAACCAGTTCTGTTTCCTACAGTTGGCCTTGGCAGAGTTATACGAAGATGAAGCTAAAAGGCAGTCATTGTGTCCTGACAAACAAACACCTACAAAGATCAGTAACACAAAAGTATCACAGAGGTAACGTGTGCTTTGTGCTTTAGAAATGTGTTGAATAGGTACTGTATTAGCTCACAAAATTTTGTTATACTTACTTGATCTCCTACGTGTATAAAAAACAATGTACAGCAGTTCATAATCTGGAATTGTGAATCCCTGTAATAATGCATAATCTGTGTCTTCTCAGAGTGTTTTTAAAATTCAATTTATTTAGGAGCCTTTGTGCTATATGGTATTCCAAAACAGTTTAAACCCATTTCAGATAAGATGCTATAAGTGTTGCTTTTTGTTTACACAGATAGAAATTGGAAATTTGCTGTATCAGAAAAATACTGCAGTTCTTTGCTGCTTCAGAATTCAGCAAATCAGTAGTTTGTGTCAAACTTGGCAAGTAAGCTGCTTTCAGTGTTGTATTTATGTTAGTACCTGATGAGACAAATATTCATGTGAAAAATTATTAGTAGGCTCCTATGGGGTGAGAGAAATAAGAAGGGCTTCTTAATGAATTTGGGTTTAGCAGGTAGAAGGAAAGATATGTAGCTATATATAAATCCAACTTTTGCTGACCTGCAGTGTTTGCAGTTCACATAGCATTTGAAGATTCAAGTAGTTATAAATTTTTTATAAAGAACTCTTGCCAATTTTTAATTAATTCTTATTTAAATTGTTTTAAAGAGAAGTCTTTATGTCATTACTGTCAGTGATGTCGTAACAGGTCATGTATTTGGCTTGTCTTTCAATTGCTGCTGCCGATACGTATCTGTGATTTAAAGGAGGTTAAGCAGCAGAAAAGATCTTAGTCATCAGAGCCATGCTTCAAGTCCATCTGCAAATGCAGATCTTCAGGAAGAGGGTTTTTAGCACGGTTTGTGACACTTGGAAAATAATCGGGTTTTGGTGAGTTTTTTGTTTCATTTGGTGAAACCACCTAAGCTGATTAATCAGCTACATAGAACACAGTTTATAAACAAATAAAGCAAATTACTCCATTTACCAATACATATCACAAGGTTACAATTTCCCACTCCAACTGAAGGAAGAGCTGCAATACAGTATCTCAGATACTTCTGTGTGATAGCTGTTGGCAAACACTTGCTCTTTGTTGGCAATCATACTGGAATCTGTCTGAGAAAGAAGAGATGGCTGCTATTTACATGGTATCCAAAATGAGATTTTTCTTTCAGTAGACTACAGTTTGCTCTCAGATGAGCAGTGCAAAGAAACATAGTGCTGCTGTTGAAGTCAGCTACTTGGCTTACCTTCCACAATTGCAGGTATAGAAGAATGTCTCTAGGCCCTGCTGGAATAAATGCCATATTATATATGCTGTAATGTTGTATAAGTTCCTTTAAGAAGCTTAAAATACAAGCCCTGTAAAACCTATGATGCGACAAAGGAATTAAAAGATTAAAGCGTTTCTAGTGCCCATGACCAATACATTAGTCCATACCAATACATTTTTTTTCTGAGAAAGTAATAGGAAGCAGATCCTTTACTTGGATATAGAATTACATTGTTTTATCATCACTGATACTTAAAGAAGCAATGGCCTGCTCTGCTACCCTTCAATTTCAAAGGTACAGTAATCAGCCAAATTGTATAAATCTGAACTAGTGATCTGTTATTGCTCATGTAGCAGATTGTATGTATGTTCTTATCCCATGGTAGTCAACTACCTCATATGCATCTCACTAATGAATTTTATCATCAAGTACTATGGGATAAGAGCATATATCTATACAGCTTTTCCTAGCATTTTGCAAACTGCCAGTCCTAGCTTGTCCAGTGGTAGCTTATCAATCTGTCCCTATCATAAACCAGAATCTGATTCTGCATTTTAATCAACTTTTGAAGGTCTTTGCGTTGTTACCATTCAATCTGTTTTTAAAATTGCGTAAAATAGAAGTGAGAACAAATACTTTTTATTTTTGAGGACTCCAGGATATCAAGGAAAGCCAATGTTGACTTCACTAGGCAGCTTACTTCTTGACAAAACCAGCTAAAATATGAAAAGAATTTGAAGTGTAATTAATTCTCATAAGCTGGATTCTAAAACAGCTGTTGAGCTTGCATATTACATGTGTTATCTGTGGAACTACCAGTGGTGTAAAGCAGAATTCTGCATAATAAGAATAGAATGAGAACAAAAAACCTCCAACAACTTGGTATCTTTAATTTTTGAAAACTGTAGTTTCAGAAGTTACATATGAAGTACTTAGTGAAGTGTATGTACCAGTCATCTTCAGATGTTTTCTTTTATTCTCTTGGCAGTCTTAAAATTGATTCTCTTAGAAGGTTGAGAAAACCAGAGAGAAGCATGAGCGATGACAAAGAAAACCAAAGGTATTTTTAAAACAAAACAAATTTGTTTAACAGTTGTGAAAGTAATTGGGTTTTTTTGTGACATTCACACTTTGCTCCCCCCATTTTTCAAAATGCGTGTGAGCTGTCTATTCTGCAAAGAGCTAGTAGGTACAGAGACACTGTGTGACTTCTTAAAGTAAGTGTTAGCTGTACACTGCTGTAGTAAAACTATACTTAAGCTATCTGGCTGTAGTGATCTAGGACCTGTAGATGCCTTAACATGTGACTGTGGATGTAAAAAAAAAAATCTTACACTTGGACTCTAAAGTTTTTTTGCCTTTTCTCAAATACCTTGAGTTGTTCTGTGTATCCATTACTCAAATATTTGAGTATATCCTTTCTTTCATGAATACAAATTCTGATGAGAATTCTTGTTTCATCTTCTTACCACTGTAATAGCTTTAAATCTAATAATTACAGATTTTTCCATATAAATGGCAGTAAGGATAAAAATTTACAGATTTATGTACAAAGGAGAGATACTAGAGGATTGCCAGTTACATGACATCATAAAAGTAGTATGATTGTACAGCACCTTCATACTCACTACTGCCTTTGGATAACTGTAAAATATAGTGAAATCAACAGCATTTTGAAGTCATTGGCCTGAGAGGCAGTTTTATATGGATTAATTGATTTGCCTTGCCCCAAGTGATTAAGTGAAAAAGTTAAGGAGGGTAGAAAGCACCTGTTTTATTGGTTAATAAGACTTCTTGTAATCAAAGACAAAGCGTTCAAGTTTGCCAGGTTTTATATTTATATACAGATCTTTCTACAGCATCTATTCCATTGGTATTTAGAGATTTATAGCACCTTTCTCAAGATAATCCTCAAGGAATATCTTGATCTTCATAATCAAACAGATACAGTTTTGAAAAGAATAATTTGTAATTTAACTTTTCACATTCAAGAGCTAGAAATGGGGCTGTGTTGAAAGAAAAGAACAAAAATTAACTTTCACAGCAGTTTCTGCAGATTTTAAAATGCCTTGAAAGGTTAATTAGATTTATTAGAAACTTTCATTTCTAATATTGGCAGGAATGGAAGTATACTATATCTTTAAATTAAAAGCGCAAATTGTGGCACTGTTCAGGTTTTTCAATAACAATTGTACGCTTATTCTGCTAAGGTGGTATTAGTTGTGAATCTGTATTCTGACCAGCCCAGACGTGATCCCATGCACAGGACACCCCTGAGGAAATTGGTCTTTCTGGGAGCAGATGACATCCACATATGATGAGGTGTAGAAAGCCACAGCTGCATCAGGACTGCATTCACTTGATTATATGGCCTTGGCCCCTCACCCCTGGGGCATGTTCCAGAAGGCACCTTGATAGTTTTGTCAGTGAAATGTCTTTGGAGTAGTGCTGCTTGGATTTCCGGGGAGGTCAGAGCCAAGCGGAACATTTCTGTGATCAGAATGAAAATGTTTTGCGCCAAATTTGGCTCTTTGTTATTTTTTTTCCTTTGGATGGGAAGAGGAAAATTATACTTGTCATTTAAAACATTGCTGCTTATGAACGTTACTATTCTAAAGATTTTATTCAGGTGACTCGGAATATAGAGGATTACAGATTTCTGGGGCTTCTAATAATCCGAGTAAAATTGTTGCTGAACTCTTCAAGGAAGCAAAAGAACATGGGGCTGTCCCATTAGATGAAACTTCAAGAGCATCTGGTGATTTCAATAAAGCTAAGGTAAAAGTTAAAAGATACTTTGATCTGTTTTTACATTAGTCTCTCTGAAACTCATCTAACCACATGAGAGCAAATACACCTTATTGTGGTTTGCGAATAGCAGAGGATTTGATCAACACAGTTGTGCTCTATCTGTGATCAGGTAACTTGCTCTAGAAAACAAAGTGGGGAGGAACCACACAATTTCAGGGGAAATCATTAGAAATCAACCTGAGCTGTAATTATTTGCTTTATTTTTAATTAAAATTGATTTTTTAAAAAAATAAACTGCAGTTGTATCCCAGTCAAAATCTTACCTGTTGAATTACTATGTTAGAAAATGTATGCAGATTAGAAACTGAAATTCATCATATAAAGCCTGCTTAGCCTCATTATGGTTACTAGATACAATTTTCCACTTGGAAAATATACAAGTTAGAACAGTATGTTTGCTTTTTATCACAGAAACAAGCTTGCTGATGCTTTTATTTGCACCTAGGTAAGAATTTTAATAAACTTTCAGATATTTATTTCAATCAGCTTTTCTATACGTCTTTTTCCAGTCATTTTCTGGTGGTGGATATAGATTGGGTGACTCATCACAAAAACATTCTGAATACATATACGGAGAAAATCAAGATGTAAGTAAAATTCTGAATAGCTGGAAAACAGAATCTCCAACAGATGCCTGCTTAATCATGTTTACAGCCTGAAATGCCAGTGTTACTGTAACTACGTCTGTGAGGAAAAGCTAATCTCTAAATATTACATATGTGTTGGGTATAAATTGTTTAAGTGTCCACAGAGGACAGATGTTCACTGGATACCCCTAAGACCTTCATTATGGAATTTTCTGATGTAAATTACTTCTAAATTCTTAGCCGACATTCCTTTTAGTTACTGTCCTCCAGCTGTTCTGCATTCTCTTAGCTATACTAATGTTTTAATCCTCTTAGGTTAGGAATTGTTTCTTCTTGTGGCTTGCAAAGTAGCCAGTCTCCAACTGGAGAGCATGGATGTATTCTAGGAATGGTGAAGCAGCAGGTTAGAAGCCTTTTGAAAATTGTCTTGCCTTTCTTTCCTCTCATTTAAAAATCAGGAAGTGAGGGTGGAGGGGGAGACAAAGTTCTCTATACTTAGCTATTTTTGTGAATGGCTAGAGTAAATGTTAAGCTTATCTTAACCAAGAAATCAGTAAGGCCAAAGGATGTGATTCAGGCTGGATGGGTGCTATTGTGTCACACCAGGAGCTGCTACCTTCTACCCCCTGAAGTAATCCTTCTACTGTGTAAGTAATAGCCAGCTGTAGTGAGCCAGAAACATGTTGCAGGAGGGTTACTATAACTGGGGGCAGGGATGGTTTTCTAAGGGAAGGTCAGTTTTGCTGGCTAGGGGAGCCTAGTTGTGCTGGACTGCAAGGTGATTGCAGCGAAGAGAGGTGCAAGCTCTGAAAACAAAAGGCTCTGTCTGGATGCACAGACATGCAGCAAAATAAGAAGGGAGCAGAGGAGATTGGCTTCCAGGATTCTCCGCATTGGAACGGAATGGAGCTACTATCAACTTTATTGGAGCTCAGCATGTAATAATTGGCAGAAAGAGCAGTTTTTGCTGTAACTGACGTATCAGCAGTAGTTTGTAATTTTATGGATTTGTTTCTTAATTTATCAACAAGAAACATTTATTGGCTTTGAAACTAATTGGAACACTGTGAAGATTACTACACAGGCACTATATCATCTGTTATGTCATGGATAGCAGATTGAGATTCTTTTTCCCCGAGTGTAAGAGTGGTCCTGAAGTAGATAGTAGTCTATAACTATTATTTGCTTTTTTTAAAGGATTCTAACAATGATAGTTACAGTGCAGCACTCTGTTCTTCCTTTGTTATTCTTGCTTGTGGCATGTTACAAAATCTGTTTGTAGATCAAATATCATTTAACTAATCTGTGTGAAATTGAAATACCTTATTTGTCTAGCTTCACTTCTTTAAATTTCACCATTTTGACTTCATAGGTTCAAATTTTGCTGAAACTATGGAGAAATGGCTTCAGTTTAGATGATGGCGAGTTGAGATCATATTCGGACCCAACAAATGCTCAGTTTCTTGAGTCTGTTAAAAGAGGGTAAGTTAAAATGGCAACATTTTTGAGGTATGTCTTTCAGGTGAAGTGAAGGAAAATGCTTTCTCTGCATGTCTGTGATTATCAAAAGCTCTAGGCTTCTTCTCTGCCTGCACCCATAAAATATATTCTGTATTTGTCATCAGATGCATGGGCCATTTAAAAATTTGGAACACTTTGGTTCCTTCTGGTGATTTAACTCCGAATGTTACTTGTTACAGACAGCTTTTAGTTTCATATGTTTTGTTAGTGCATTCTAGGTTTTGACTGTCAGCTCACTGATTTTTTTTTTTTTTTTGGTCCTTTAGGAAGAAATTTGTAAAATAATTGTATGTCTGTGACTCTTAAAGTAAACATAGTATCAACTCATACTGAGTAAGGTTTTGTGTAATTTTGTATTGCAGTTCAGAATGTAATTGGGAAACTTATTTTTGTAATTAAGGGAAATTCCTTTGGAACTGCAGCGACTTGTTCATGGTGGCCAGGTTAATTTGGATATGGAAGACCACCAAGAACAGGAATACGTGAAGCCTAGACTGCGATTCAAAGCTTTCAGTGGTGAAGGGCAAAAACTTGGAAGGTAAAAAACCTTTCTGTTTTCTGTTCTGTGTTTGTATGTTATTTCAAAAACTGGATTTAGCCAATTAGGAGACTGTTGGAGAAGCTAATCAGATGACAAAAGCAATATAAAATTATTCCATGCCACAAGTCTCAACCCTGAGACCTCAGAGCTACCAGTAATCATAAAAATTTACATATAATCTTAAAGAAGGTTGTCTTAGTCCTATATTCCTCATAGATTTGCTAGATACTTTGTGTTTTGTTGTGGCTATGAGATTTCTCTGTCTGTTCTTGCATATAGTTTGGCCTATAATTTTTTTTTTTTTTTTAAACTTCAGCTGTGTTTAAATTAGGAGCAAAGGAAGCTGAAAGGTGCTTAGAACTGTACAAACTTCATGAGAAAATCTCTAGATGGAAGAAGCAGACTCAAATACTTGTTCCCCATTTAGTGAGAAGCAAGCAGAACTTAGTTATAATGTGATAGTGGCCAGTAAGGATGCATGCTGCTCTGGCTTAGCTGCAGTACATGTTGTCTTTTAGTGATGAGATCATCACAAAGGGACTAGGAGATGCTATTGCAGCAATGTGGCTGATGCCTGACTTAATGCGGATGGAAAGTATTTTTGTATGGGAGAAAATCATATTTTTTTCAGGAATGAAGCAGCAGAAATACTGTCCTGAAATATAACCTTGTAAGTGGTCACTCATTGTAAGTTATACAAGACAAGTCTGTTAGCTCTAAGAAAAGGAAATGATTTGATAAACTATTATTTTAATCTGATCCAAAATAAATGAGCAATAAGTTGTATCAAAATCTTGCAACTTTTACTAAGATTTGATGAAAACTTCAAATGATACTGCAGAAATCTGTAGTAGGAGGTGCTTTTTTTAAAAAAGCAAACAACCATAGGAATTGTACATGCTTTTCTACATGAAATGATACTGCAAAGTCTGGACTGCGTGAGAGGAGGGGCTCAACTTTTAACCTTTGATTGGAGCCCTCATTTCCTTCAATTCTAGTGTCATCTCCAACTACAGTATAAAATTCATATATGTAGTAAAAAATATGAAATTTAATTATTTAGAAAAGCTTGCACCTGGTTCTGTTTCATTTACTGTCCCTGTCTGAGGGTAGGATGATGCTTTTAAAACTCTAACGTGTATAATTCAATTGAACTGATACATAACGTGCCAAAATTCATTCCTGTGACTAAACACTTCAGACTACTTTGTCCATAATCTCTGTTCAGTTTAAATTGGTCAGTAAGAGGAAACAGGTAATGTGACTTCTACTCTGCCAATCATCAGCTTTTTTTGCATAACAATTATAGGCATTATAGTATGTTTTTCAGCTGACTTGATATTATCTGTTGAATTGTAAATACTTCTAGGTTTCTGTTCATGATTGCATTTATTCATGTTATATGTTTGGTTGCCAGAAAAAGGTATTACTGGTCTGCTTCTGTGGGTAATTCAATAAATGATTCTTAACTGTTTCTAATCTGTATTTCATCTTTTTAAAAGTGAGGAAGTGTGCTCAGTAAAACTGAGAAGGTAGAAAGTTCTGTCAGGGATGACACAGAGAACAATTGTATATAACAACTTCTTCACTTGAGCACTTGCTCAGATTATTAAAGGAAATAGTTGGGGAAGAGAGGATAACGTTCTGTATATAAGAAAATGTGCACACCTATTGTGTGGTGGTTTTGTTTTGGTAGCTTATGAAGTCTCAGGTATGAAAACAATGAAAGGAGCAGCCAAATGGTTATCTCCAAGAAGATGTTATTCCTTTTTATACTAAATGTAAAAAATTCCACCTTACTATGTGGTGCTATTGATTACCTGTTAATATCATCTGCGCTTTGGAAGGGTGGGGGATGCCCAGAATCATGAAGTAGTGCTCCTGAAAGCAATTACTAAAGCAGTTTGGGTCAGTTTAGTGCAGTATAATAGTACATAATTATTTTTTAATATAGTCCAGGAGGTACAACATACAAATCTTAATACTGAAGACTGTCATTTCATGCTCTGTAAGAGTAAACAAAGATAGTTTTGTTCGCACTTCATTACCTATTTTAAATCATGCAAATGTAATGCAGATTTATAAGAAAAATAAATATTAAATATTGCAATAATTGACAAGAAGATACAAAAGCATTATTTGTGTCTCTTGTTAGAAAACTTGTGTTTAACTTAGCTCAGGAAAATTTGAGAGGATTTTAATTTCTCATTTGTAATAGCTATACATGGTAATCATTAAGTGAAAAGGACAACTGAAATATTATTCAATTCTAGTTTGACTCCATTAGTAACATCTGGTTTGTTTTGTTTTTTTTTTTTCAATCCTTTAGCCTTACACCTGAAATAGTCAGCACACCTTCTTCCCCAGAGGAGGAGGAGAAATCCATTCTTAACGCGCCTGTTCTGATTGATGATTCCATGCCAGCAACTAAAATTCAAATTAGATTAGCAGATGGAAGCCGATTAATACAAAGATTCAATCAAACACACAGGTAAATTGATTCTGAATCAATGCAGGTAACTGTAACTATTTTGATGAGTTTGTGTTTTGTTATTAAATGAATATCAGCAAGACATCGAAAAGGGAAAAACACAGTTCTACTGAAATGCTATACTTCTGTGTCATTTTTGTAACATAGATGTACTGATGAATTGGCTGTCAAAGGAAAATTCTGTACTTGAAACCACAAGATATTTGATAACTGCAAAGTCACAAACTTTTATGACCAGTTATGTCCTGTGATTCACCAGGACGTGGTACCAGCCATAACTTTTCTCAGGGCAACTGAAATCTGGACAGTGTCGCTATGTAGTCATCCCAGCCCTAGGCCCTTCTGGGGAGGAGCATGTGGCTGACTTGGATGACTCTGTGAAGGGACTTTATTGCAAGGTGTGGAGTATAGCCTCAGTTGGAATATAGTCCACACTACACGCAGAGACATCTGTGACCCATAATCAAGAGCTCCAGCTTTCTATCTTCTTGTACTTGAGACTATAACCCATGTCATGTTTAGTGACAAGCATAGACTGCAGCCCATATGCAGAAGCGTTATGGACATAACATGCTCATTTGCAATTCTGGCATGTGAGCTGGACATAATATTGAGAACCAACCTTTGTTTCATTTTGGATGGTCATCTCCTAGGAATTGGCAGCATGTGAACTTGGTGGGTTTTTTAGATCTTAGTAGTTTGCTGATTAGACCTTGCCATCAGTTTTATTGACATTGTTGGGGCATTGCCACAAATCGTGTTGGCCAACCCCATTTATTTGCCTAAGAGGTTGTGTTAGCGCAAGGTTCTGCTGCTTTGCACTTCGTGGCTGAGAGAACTTTGGGCAGAGGGCAGAGATTTGGGCAGTATTTCCACCCACGCTTCACAGCAAGCAGGACTCAAGCCAGCCCTGATGTGAAATCTGCACCATCTGTGTTAGAACGCAGCTGAAACTGAGCTTGAATCCTGCCATGGAGGTGGTCTTAGCATGGACCCAATTCCACGTTAATACTGTTATATGGAGAGTTCACCTGTTTACTTTTTTTCCTTCTGGCTCAGAATAAGAGCAGAGCCAATGTGCAACTTTCTTCACCTGACAACATACACAGACCACAATGAGGCAATTTTAGTTGAGATGCCATTTTAGCAGTCTTGATAATGTACGCTGATAGTAAGGTCCAGGTCCTTTCTTCGCAGCACCTGCTGGAGAAATGACAGAGACAAAACATTAGGGCTTACTGGGAGCCTCTGTAGCCATGATGTGTTTTCTTCTGTCTGCATGAAAGGGTAGAAGTGATAAACTCCCCAGTAACATCTGTAACTAAGGGTGTGTCGACAGAAGCTTATTTTCATCATTATTAACTTTCTCTTGGTTGTGGATCTTTGTAGTTTAGTTAACACAGCCATATGTATGATCAAAATAAGCTTCTAAAGTGCACTGCTTGTGTCATAAGCCTTGAAGACTGATAGAAAGTTGAAGTCCCTGCTTGCTTGACTGCAGTAAATCTGCCTACTTACTAGTTACAATAGATCTTCAAAGATTTATTCTCAGTATACTGTCTTAGGAGAGAAACCTCAAGTTTCATTTCTTTAATCTCTAAAATCTTATTTATTTTTCATCTATGTCTTAAAAACTAAATTATTCTTGTTATCTTCTTGATGTGATTGTTTTATGAACTGTTGTTCAGAAGTGCAGTGCCAAGTGAAAGTAGGGGAAACTTCTTGCTCTTGAAGTACATTAATTAATAATTCCCCTCTGCTTTCTCATCACTGTCACCATATATTTTAAGATTCCTCCTTCCATTAATAATGTAGACTTTTTTTGGAATGGCTAATTAATAATGAAATTTTTGACAGCTGCTGTTGAAATTACTTGACTTCGTTAAGTATCAATTTGCAATGTACTTCTATGTTACAAATTTTATGTTGAGAAAACAAGCAACATTCATTTTAATTTTTTTGATGCAAGAAGCAAAAAATTCTCGGTTACAACCATTAGTCATCTGGATCAAATGGAAATGTAAAATCAATAGGGCGTATTAAATAGTTTAGTCTGTCAGAAGGTTTTGTGTTCTCTGATCATCTTCAAGTTCAGAGATTTATGTCAAAATGGAATCATACACAGTTTTCCTGTCCATATCCTTTCCACAGGATTAAGGATATTCGAGATTTCATTATCCAGTCCCGTCCAGCGTTTGCAACAACTGATTTTGTTCTTGTGACTACCTTTCCAAATAAAGAGCTAACAGATGAAAACCTGACACTACAAGAAGCAGATATACTTAACACTGTGATTCTTCAGCAATTAAAGTAATCTTACAGTTGTTGGTACAATATAGGATGCGTGCTGTATTGTCATATATTGTGTTTCTAACAGGTGAAAAAAAGGGAAAGATCTGTGTCTTTTTAATTCCTCACTTCCACAGATCAAATTTTTGGGTTTCATGTCTTTCAGTTCCAACATATATAACTTCTTTCTTTTAATTTCTCAACATTGTTCAGCCTTTTCTTTAGTGTTAAAATTAAGCTTCCCTATGTTAGTATGTTTCAAACCACATCTGTACTAAATGTGAAATGAAGTATGACTTTATGACTCTTCATTATTTTGAGGGGGGTGGGGGGAGAAGCATTTTTCTGAAGGGGACAGTCTTTCATACAGTTGGTAAGATTTGCACTATGGAAATGTTTTATGCTGCATTGACAAACAGCCATTTGAAAATTTAGCCTGTAGGTTATGTTTACCTTCCAAGCTGTATTAATACTAAAGTGTTCTGTTTAATAGGTTGACAGATAGTTAATGCCCTAATGTTTTTGTATATTCTGATTGTAGTGTTTCATGGTGCAGTATAATATTTATATTCTGGGTTTTATGTACTTTTCCCTGTATCATTGTTCATATGAGTGAATCAGCTCAGGAGATGGAAACCTCAGTCAGCTATTGCAGACTACAATAGATTGTTCTCATTTGTATTCTAGTTGTTGTTCTTGTGGTGAAAATAAGTATATATATTTTTTTTTTCTTATTGAAGTTAAGAGAAATGGGAGAGACCACTGTCATCTGGAGAAATGCTGTGATTTAGATTTCATGAGAGTAAGCCTGTGGTCACTTTGAACCTGAATATGCAGTTGAACCCTGTGCAGCTACATGATTCTTTATGTGAACAGTTACTTAACACCAAGCAAAAAACCACCACGGTGCACCAGCACAGGACTTGTTTATGCTGTCACTTGCATGCACAAAAGCAGACATGTTAATTGGTCATGTGTTTTTGACCTAAATTTCAGGTCTTTATATTTGGAATTTTGGCCAGAGGCATTTTGTAATATTCAATGGGGATTTGGTTGTGCTACTTTCACTATACTTGTTTGGAAGCTGTACAGTTAAACCCCTTAATCTTTGAAATTATATATTTTTTGAAATAACTTGGCTCTACACTGCGGTATGCAGGTAGGAATCTTATGTTGTGGGCAAACTGGCTGCTGTGCATTAGTCTTACACAGTTTTATAGTATTTGTGGCTTTATAGCAGATGAGTGGATCACACTCTGAAGGACGGTAAATGGGCTGTATCTCTTGTACTGATACATGTGTTAAAAATGCTGTTATCACTGATTAATTTTGAATATATTAGAATTTATTTATGCTAAGCTTATAATTGCTCAGTATAGTTGATTCAACTTACATTTTTACCTCAAAGTAGATATTTGACTGAGTAAATTTTAAATGTGCAATTGTATTTGAAGTATTTTGTTTTGTAATCTGCATGATGTTAATCATAATTCATTTCATGTGCTAAGTAATTAAAATTTTAAGCTAAAAAGACCATAGGCAACACTTGTTTTCTTCCCAATTTATGTTGTGCTGAAGTGGTGATTGTGTTGCATGCTGGGTACTTAAGCCTAAATGGAAAGGAATGGACATATACTATGCGTATATTTTATATAATAACACTTCTCTATATAAATGCAAGGCCAAAGTCATTATTGTGATAACGATCTTGGGAAATCTGTGGTTTTGGCATATTTCAGTTCAGAATGTAGATAAAGTTACATTGCTTATTACTTCTAAACACCATTATTAATTAAACACTGATGTATGAAGGACAGTGATTAAACTACATTGTTGGGTTTTTTTTCCCCTTTATTATGCCAAAACCTACAACTGCATATTATCACAATCTCTTTGTTTCAAATACCTGGTAAATTCTAGTGTTCAGTAGCAGCTGAGAGTAACTGGGGGTCCCAGTAGTTGACACTATTTTTTCAAGCACTAAGAAAATGTATCAATGCTCATGTTTAAATATTTCACTGCTTCTCAGTACTTTAAAACCTATGAAATCATCCATCTCATAATTTTATAACATACTTTTTATTAATATTAAATTTTCATTCATGTAGCTAACATCCTGGAAGTTTTGGCACAGAACAGTTCTCTGAGTACAGACCTATGTGGATATGCAGTTAAAGGAGAAGGGAGACTGAATCAAGGGAGAAGGAACTTAGTAGAGGATGATCTTTCTCTCACAGCAAGCCTGCTGAGCTTCTTGGGAATTCCTCTTAGCTTCCATGAAATACAGGTAATAATCCTGTCGCTTGCTCTTGTAGGAAGCTTATAAAACGCTCAGGCTTCACCTCTGCTTGTCTTTCTCAGAAATCACACGGGCCAAATAATCCAAAATTTTTCTTTCTCTTAAGAAAACCTTTTTTTTTTTTTTTTTTTTTTTGACACTACTCCCATCTTTGTGTTTATCCAGAATAAATGATTACAATCATGCTTAAGTTTCTGGGGTTTTCTTTTTTTCAGCAGGACATGAAGATGTTTGTAAACATTCTGCTTTAATCAGACTACTGGACACACTTGTACAATTAGCATATATTAACAGCTGTCTCATGCTGTTCTCAGTCTTTGGTGAAAATCTGTCCAATATTAAATGAACCAGGGAAGAGCATGCAGGCTCTCAGAGGTGCTATTACTAGCTTCTTGCTTAGCTGCTTGCACTAAGCTAAAGCTCCCATAATCTTTAATTGTATCATTCTGAGCAGGGAGAATAGACAGAGGTGCACGTTCCCCTTGCTCTTGATGATTAAGCCTGACAGGCCTCAGTGTAGGCATGTGCTGATGAGACAGCGAATGGCAAGGGTCTGGAATAATAAATACTGAATTCCTGGTATGCCAAAAGCAGTAAGCTTGTGGTGTTTCTATGGGATGGATATAGTTGGAATGTGTCTCTGAAGAGATTAAAAGTAGGACTGGTACTATTTAGCTGTTTATCAATTATTTGAAAATAAACGTTGAAAAACAAAATATTAGTGTGATGATTAACAACAGTAGGCAGCAACTATGATAAACAACTATGATAAACATTTAGTGAACTGTAGCATTCAGACCATTTGCATCCTTAATACAGCCAAATGTCAAGTTATGAATCTGGAACCAACTGTGAAAGACACTAATGGCCTGGAGAGCACTGGCCCTGTAAAGGAGTTGAATGACAGGAGGAAAACAATTCAGCAGAACTGTTTATACCCCTTTGAGGTTTACAGAATTGACTTTGTGACTGGGAGACGGTTTTAATACGTTTATTACTGGTGAGTTTGATACTCTTTATGGTGCTGGTCTTGCTTCCTAAGAACGTTAAAGATGGGACCAAAAAAATCAATGGAAATGCTGAATTACATATCTTAAAAGTCCTTCAAAACAGGTAGCTTATCAGAAAGAAAACAGAGAGATGAGGTGATTTAAAGTGGGCAGTTACTTCACAGAGGGGAAAAAGGTATCGTAAGACTTTGTTAAATAAAAGCATAACAAGAATTAGAAGCTTGTACAAAGCCAGAAACTTAGTTCAGGTATTTGCAAAGTGAAATTAAACAACATTTTTCAATAGTTGAACTATTGCAGTGAACCAACCTTGAAAATCAACTTCTCTGTCTTCTGGGGTTTTTTTGTTTAATTCTCATTGTTAGGCTGGCTTTCCATAAGATTTGTTTTAGTTAAAGCAAATATATTGGCATTTTGCTACTGAGACAACAAGGTAAAATAAGATGGTTTAGTTTTGGAAAGCAATTTACTTTGCCTTTGTCCAGTCATAGTTACAATTAATAAATTTTGCGCTATGTTTCAGATATAAAGGCTGGAAACATCGCTGTTGATCTTCAGTATTTTCGTTACAGGTGTTCCAAAAAAAGTCTGTTGAACTTCAGAGAGATGATTAACAGAACTCAGATTACAGACCAGAAGTCACCTCCTTACATTTCTTTTTTGCAACACTCCTTTAGTAATGGTCTTGTTCTGTTGATAATTGGAGAGCTCTCTGGCATTACATCTGAAAGTTAAAGGAAAGAAACAAAGTTGTAAAAGTTTTTCATCTAAAACGGTGAAGAAGGGAGGGTATCTAATTCTTTTCTGTTTGCTGGGAGCTGTCTGCTCTTGAGTTGAATCTGATCTATAAGTATGCATTTGAGTTCTTTGTGTTATTCCAAACTACATTAAGGTAAACTGAGCAAGACATACTTAATTCTGGAATTGGGGAAAAAAAAAAAAATCCTTTTGAGAATTATTCTGGAAGAGCTACTGTTTTACATTTATAAATCTAACTCTGTCCAAATTAATTTGTTGAGATCTTAGACCATTTGAATAATAATGAGCAAGTATTCCCAAATGGGAATACCCAGGAGTCATTTTTCTAGATGATGTTTTTAGCTGAAGTTTGAGTAGCACACCAGGTTGGGTGGGAGTGTTGATGTGCTCGAGGGTAGGGAGGCTGGACAGGCTGGAGCCATGGGCTGAGGCCAACTGGAGGAGTTTCCATAAGGCCAAATGCCGGGGGCTGCCCTTGGGCCACAACAACCCCCAGCAGCGCTACAGGCTTGGGGAGGAGTGGCTGGACAGCTGCCAGTCAGAGAGGGACCTGGGGGTGCTGATTGACAGCCGGCTGAACAGGAGCCAGCAGTGTGCCCAGAGGGCCAAGAAGGCCAATGGCATCCTGGCTTGTGTCAGCAATAGTGTGGCCAGCAGGGACAGGGAAGGGATCTGACCCCTGTACTCGGCACTGGTGAGGCCGCCCCTCGATTCCTGTGTTCAGTTTTGGGCCCCTCACTACAAAAAGGACATTGAATGACTCAAGCGTGTCCAGAGAAGGGCAACGAAGCTGGTGCAGGGTCTGGAGCACAGGTCGTAAGAGGAGAGGCTGAGGGAACTGGGGGGGTGTAGTCTGGAGAAGAGGAGGCTGAGGGGAGACCTCATCGCCCTCTACAGCTCCCTGAAAGGAGGGTGCAGAGATCTGGGGATGAGTCTCTTTATCCAAGTAACAAGAGATAGGATAGGAAGTAATGGCATCAAGTTGCACCAGGGAAGGTTTAGACTGGATATTAGGAAGCATTTCTTTCCAGAATGGGTTGTTAGGTGTTGGAATGGGCTGCCCAGGGAGGTGGTGGAGTCCCCATCCCTGGAGGTGTTTAAGAGTCGGGCTGACATAGTGCTGAGGGATCTGGTGTAGTTGGGAATGGTCAGTGTGAGGTTAATGATTGGACTGGATGATCTTCAAGGTCTTTCCAACCTTGATGATTCTGTGAATTACTTATGCAGGGCTGTGAAGCTGGTATTTATTTCATTGAATTCTTAGTGTCTTACTAGGTGTGAATATAAAAAATCGCATCGTCTATTCCAGCAAAACAAAATAGAATTCATAGTGTTTACTAGCACTATCCTAAAAATTACCAAGTAATTGCACTTTGAGAACAGAACAAATGATCTGATTTCCAAATTAAATTTTAATTAACTTTTTCATGGTAGTAGTTGTCTACAGTGTTTTGGACCAATGGAAGCATCAGAACTTTAGTGCCTGCATTGTGAAAACCGTGGACAAATGTTCCATTTCAGTGAACAGAATTAATTTCTGTTTATCTTGCAACTGTTTCTAATAAAGTTAAATTAAATCATCATTAATCAGTTGTTCACAATGTAAATACCCTTACAGTCTTTCATGCCAATTTAGTTAATCCATTTTAAATTAGATTTGACAAAAATTCTGCCTGAATGTGAAAATGTAAGGGTTAGGTTTTT